TACCAAGGTTGTGAGGAGAGAAGGTGGGTGTGTGTGTGTGTGTGTGTGTGTGTGTGTGTGTGTGTGTGTGTGTGTTTGTGTGTGTGCAAATACAACCACTCTCCCTGAGCTAGTGATAACCTGCATTAAGGGTCCATCCACTCTGAGCAGTCAATGCTGGGAATTGTAGATGAAAAGTAAGAAAAGAGGGTCTGGAAGTATTAAGAAGGCACAGGACAGGGGCAGCTAGGTGGTATAGTGGATAGAGCACCGGCCCTGGATTCAGGAGGACCCGAGTTCAAATCTGGTCCCAGACACATAACACGTGCTAGCTGTGTGACCCTGGGCAAGTCACTTAACCCCATTGCCTAGTCAAAAAAAATTTTTTTTTAATTAGAAATTAAAAAACAAAAAGGCACAGGACAGAACAAAGGTCAGGAGGACACTTGGACAACCAGGGCAGGTGTGAAAAAAACCAGGTCAAACTGATGAACTTCCCAAAAGTAAAAGCAAGGGCCCCTGGCACAGATGGGCAGCTTCCAACCCTAACTCCAAAGGCGTCTTTTTCTCTTCTTCTTCGCCTGTGGAGATGATCTCATCGAGCTGCTGTTGGTTAAAGCCAGAATTTTTTTTTTTAATTAAAAAGGGGGGGAAATAGATGTGTGTAACTGAGAGGCAGAGGGGGTTAGTGGAGAGAACATTGGATTTAGAGTCTGAGGATTAGCTCTGTGGCCCTGGGTAAGTCACTTATCCTTTCTGTGACTCAGTTTCCTCATCTATAAAACACAATACATAGGGTACTTCTCTCACAGGGTTACTGTCAAGCTGAAATGAGGCAATTTGGCCTAACAAGCATTTATTAAGTGTGTGTTATGTGCCAGGCCCTGTGCTAAGCACTAGCAAGGCCAAGAAAGGCAAAAGATAGTTCCTACCCTCAAGGAGCATACATTCTTATGGGGAAGACAAAATGTAAGTAAAAATAAGCTGTCAGATTTCAGAGACAGAAGGGACCTTGGAGGCAGCTAATCCTGGATCTACTCCAGTCCCCTGGTTCCAGGGCAGATGGGGGATGAGGGAGGTTGCAGCCTGCCCAAGGTCACACAGGTAGTAAGTGGCAGGGGCAGCCAGTACTCTCTCCACTATGCCACACCCTACTTGAGGAGGCATTCCCCATAAATGGTCATCCAAGGACTTCTTGAAGCCTTCCAGGGGTGGGGAGCTCACCACCTCCTGAGGCAGCACATTTCACTTGGGAGCAGCTCCTGTGTTAGAATATCTTCTTAAATCAAGCCCAAATCTGCATCTGCCACTTTGGCCTTTAAGAATCTGAGCCTCTCAGGGCAGGTAGGTGGCGCAGTGGATAGAGCACCAGCGCTGAAGTCAGGGGGACCCGAGTTCAAATCCGGCCTCAGACCAAACACCTGACATGTACTAGCTGTGTGACCTTGGGCAAGTCACTTAACCCCAATTGCCTTACCGGGAAAAAAACAAAATAAAATGCTTAAAAAAAAAAAAAAAGAATCTGAGCCCCTGGAGCAGCTAGGTGGCGCAGTGGCTAGAGCTCTGGCCTTGGGAGTCAGGAGGACCTGAGTTCAAATCCAGCCTCAAGCCTCAGACATTTGACACTTACTAGCTGTGTGACCCTGGGCAAGTCACTGTGACCCCTATTGCCCCAACAAAAAAAAAATCTGAGCCCCCAAATTGGATGAAGTAAGTCTGTCCAAGACCACCAGTCGCTGATTAGACCTAGATTCTCTTGGAGCAGGGAGGGTACTACGTTGCCTGCACAGGCTGGGTGAGCTAAGCCGGAGAGGCGACCTGGCATAAGGGAAGGAGCATGCAGCGCTGGAACCCCAACATGCTCCCGGGTGACCCTGACCCAGCGCCTTCAACCTCTGCTCTCATCTCTCTATCTGTGAAGTGGGCTGATGAACACCCTCCTAGATGCCCCATTAGCCACGGGGCTCCAGGAACGCAGGATGATTATTTTGAGGGGAATGAAGGGCCCAAGGGGGCTAGATGAGTTCTGAGAACAGCAGGTTGGACGTTCGCAGCAGCCACCACCTGGGGAAGTCCTTAGAGGTGGAGGAGGCAGCACGCACTGAGGGCGAGGGGCTTGGATAGGAAGGAGGATGGGGGTACGGGGAGAGGCCTACGATCACAGCGAAGGGCCAAGAGAGGTTCAGTGCCCAAGGTCACAGAGGGAATAAACCTAAGGAATGGGATTTGAACCCAGGTCCTCTGACTCCTGAGCTTCCTCCTACAAGGTAAAGTCAAGTCGAGCCATTATATGCCGCGTGGGGCCCTACTGTGCTTGAGGCAGCGTGAAGAGGCCAATGAGGTCTTCCAGAAATGAGGAGGCCGGGGGCCCCTGTGCTGCAGCCTGGTAGACCCCTGCGATACCCGTGTAGTGCTGCAGGCCAAGGCTTAAGAAGCTTGCCGATAAGCTGGACCAGTGTTGGAAGCATGACATTATGCCCAGGATGAGGAAGCGTCTTGAGCCGGGTCATCTGGAAGGAATTGGGTGTGTTTATCCCGGAGGAGAGAAGACTGGGGTGGGGTGGGGAAGGGCTGAGGCCTCTAGCTCAGTTCTGCTCGACCCCAGGGGGCAGGGCTGGGAACCATGGGTGGAAGCTATAGAGAGGAAAATTTAGGCTGGGTGTCAGGGAGAACTTCCTAAGGATCTGAGCTGTTTGAAAGTAGAATAGGCCACCAGACTCTGAGCCAGGAAGATCTGAGTTTGACTGCTGCCTCCCGTCATTGGCGTCCTTGTGGGGGCCCCAGCCTCGTGTGCACGAGATGACGGCCGTCTTAAACGGAACCGATTCTGACTCTGACCCATCTCTCGAGACTGAGCCATCTCTGAGCCCCCTTTTTGCTACGACACGCCGAGCAGATTTGGGACCTGCCCTCGCCTGACTCGATTCCTTCCTACCAGGCTGGAGCACAGGGGCCCCCGGCCTCCTTATTTCTGGAAGACCCCACTGGCTTCCTCATCGGCCTCCTCACGCTGCCTCAAGCACAGTAGGGCCCCACGCGGCATATGATGGCTCGACTTGACTTTACCTTGTAGGAGGAAGCTCAGGAGTCAGAGGACCTGGGTTCAGATCCCATTCTTTAGGTTTATTCCCTATGTGACCTTGGGCACTGAACCTCTCTTGGCCTCATTTTACCCAGAATGGAGAGGTTAAACTAAATGAGATTTTCAATCCATGTTTCAGTTTTAAGTCTATGACTTATCATTGTTGTACAGCTGTGTCCAGCTCTCCGTGACCCCATTTGGGGTTTTCTTGGCAGATACTGGAGCGGTTTGCCATTTCCTTCTCCAGTTCATTTGACAGATGAGGAAACCGAGGCAAACGCAGTTAAGTAACTTGCCCAGAGTCACTCAGCTAGCAAATGCCCGAGGCTGCATCTGAACTCAGGTCTTCCAGACTCCACTCTATCCACTGGGCCACGAATCATTCATGCCTTTCTCTCTCCCTCCTGGAAACACTCGGCTGTAATGGTTGGCTTTGGCCACTAAGAGGTGCCCCGTACGCACCTTCTGCTCTCAATTCTCCAAAGGGCCGAGCTTCAGAAAGCCCGTCGGCATGCCCCTCTCCTTCTGGGGTGCTCAGCCTGGGGACGCCTCCAGCCTTCTCCTCTGAATCACGTTTGTAGATGCATAAAATGAAACGCAAAGGCTGACAACGAACATCAGTCATAGGAAAATAGGGATCGAAATACACGTTAGAAACGAATTCACAGCCCCGGGCGAGGAGCCCCTGACCTGTCCAAGGCACACCAACAGGTCACGTGTAAAAGAGAAAGCCTGGTTCTTGGGTTTTGGAAGCGGAGCCGCCTTGGCCCCGGGGAAGGGGGGCGGGCGGCGACCATCCCCCACCCCACCCCCAACCCCGTGCGACTGTGACCCCAGGGGCCGCAGCAGCCTGCTAAAGGGCAAAGAGCAAGTGGTTTGGTTAAATAAAGGCTCCTGCAAACTCCAAGCCCTTCGAGCGGGCCCGCAGCGGGTGGGCGGGGCGTTCTCTGCAGAGATCTCTGCAGACGGGAGAGAGCCCGGCCCTCCAGGCTGCGCGCAGGGCAAAGACGAAAATGATCATGAACTAATTAATTACTCAAGTGGCCGGCGCGTTTAACCCCAGCGTTCCAGAGCAAGTGCATCGGCGCGCGCCGTGCCGGGGCTTTGGGGACAAGCTCGGACCCGGGCTCCTTGCCGCCCCCGCCCCCCAGGGACCCTGTCCTCGCTTTCGGCGGGTCCCCACGTGGATGTTCATTTTGGTCAAGAGATTTCGAATGCACCGGGTGCTGGAGTGCCCGGCACGAGCGGCTGCCTGGCAGAGGCGGGCGTAGACGAATAAAGCGCTTCCGGACTGGGGGCAAACAGCGGGCCCTCCGTGGGCTCCTTTGTCACCCCCGGCCGGCCACCAGTGTGGCACGACCCATTGTGAAGAGCGAGGGCCGGCAGCCCCCACGTCAGGGGTCATGGCCTCTGCGCCCCCGGGGGGCCAGTCTGCGGGCTCTTCCCCCAGGCCTTCCACAGGACGCTCAGCCCCCATCGCGGCCACTGAGCCTTCGCGACACCGGCCAACATGGGGCCGCGGGTTCCGTCTTCCACCTTCCCTGGGCGTCAAGTGGAATAACCCACCTCCCCCCAGCCGCCGTTCAAAGAACGCCGCAATGGTTCAGTCCGGCCCCTTTCCTTCTGACGTGGGAGAACCGGCCCTGGTTTGCGGGGCGGGGATTGGCCGGCCCTCGGGGGCGTGGCCTTGCCGGCAGGGCGTTCTGACGTCATCATCAGCCCCCGCCCCTCCCCCGCCCCGTGGGCGGAGAGAAAGGCAGGCGGGGCCGGCCCCGTTTGCTCACGCTGTTTGCGCCGGCGGCGGGATTGGCCGGCCGCGGCAGTGAGCGCTCGTGCTCGGGCGGGCGCGCTCGCGCCGGGCTCGTGCCTGCCTCCTGCGTGCGTGCGTGCGTGCGTGCGTGCGTTGGCCGCGGTGCGAGGCGGGCGCGGAGCTGGGAGGTCGCGCCGAGGCTCGAGCGGCCGTCGCCATTTTATCGGGTTGACTCTGACAGACGCGGGAGCCGCCGCCGCCCCCGGAGGTGCGACCGGGGACCCGGGGGAGGGAGAGGTGGGGGGGACAACCGGGTGGGGGGGCCGGGGGCGAGGCCTCTGCGGGCGGGGCGGGGCGGGGGCGGGCTCTGCCGCCCAGGGGGCGGAGCCGCGGGCGGGGCGGGGCTTGGGAAGCCGCCTGCGAGGTGACTAGTCCCTGTCCCTTCGGAAACCGAGGCTCGCTCGGGGCGCCCCGGGCGGGGCGTGGGGGCCTGACGGGGAAACCGAGTGCTCCCGAGCGCCTGCTGCTGTGTGCCCGCGCTGCCCCGCCCCGCCCGGGCTCCGCCGGGCGCCCAGTGCGCGCTGACGGCTGGCCCCTTCCAGACCCTCGCCACGGCCCCGGCCCCCGCCCCCCCGGGTCCCCAGCCTCCGTCCGCTCGGCCCCGGCCCCGGCCCCGGACTCGGTGCCAGCCTGGTGTCTTGCAGGCCCCGTCGAGATGGTGAAGCTGTTCATCGGCAACCTGCCCCGCGAGGCGACGGAGCAGGAGATCCGCTCGCTGTTCGAGCAGTACGGGAAGGTGCTCGAGTGCGACATCATCAAGAACTACGGCTTCGTGCACATCGAGGACAAGACGGCGGCCGAGGACGCCATCCGCAACCTGCACCACTACAAGCTGCACGGCGTCAACATCAACGTGGAGGCCAGCAAGAACAAGAGCAAGGCCTCCACCAAGCTGCACGTGGGCAACATCAGCCCCACGTGCACCAACATGGAGCTGCGCGCCAAGTTCGAGGAGTACGGGTCCGTGATCGAGTGCGACATCGTCAAGGACTACGCCTTCGTGCACATGGAGCGCGCCGAGGACGCCGTGGAGGCCATCCGCGGCCTGGACAACACCGAGTTCCAAGGTGAGCGCGGGCGGGCGGGGACGCGGGGCCGGGAGGCGGGGGCCCGGCTGGGCCAGCACCGTCCAGGCCATTCCCACTGACCACAAGGCCCCAACACGCCTCTAGCGCTAGCGAGGGAAAGAGCCTTGAGTTTTTCTGAGACGCGTCTTTCTTTAGGGCTGGAATAAAAAGTACGGACTTGGGTGTTAATGGAAGAAGCCTCTTTGGGAGCCCTCCTCCTATAAGAAAGCACAATTTGATCAGCATCAGTCTGGGTCACGCAGAGTTTCGTCTCTGTCAGCTTTTGACCTTGAATGTCATCAGATGAGGCAGGCAGGCCTTATTGTCACCACTGCCCAAGGCGTAGTGGGAAGGAAGGCAAATTCCGGGAGAACGGGAAGGGCCCCAGATGTTCAGGGACCTCGAACAAACTCATCGCCTAAGATGAAGGGAGTGCAGTCAGGGTTCGCTGTGGCTTTCCAGGGGTAATACTTTGTGATTGTGGTGAGCTCCAGGGGAGAGCCCTACATGAAGTAGCTCCGATGACTTGTCATGGTACTTCTCCTGGTCTCTCAGAAAGGACTCAGGGCTCCAAGGTGGCTCAGAGTTCCAGTCTTACTGTTGACCAGCTCTGTGGCTTTGGATGAGTCCCTTAACTTCTCGGTGCCTCATTTGTTCTGTTAGTAAAATTGGCATTGCAGTGCGACCTGCTTGAGCCTCTCAGGATTGTCATGAGGATGACATCCCGGGCTTTGCCCGATAGATTTTCGTTGAATTAAAAGACAAAATGAAAGAATAGATAGAGGTGTGTCCTGACACTAACAGCCTTTCTAGAAAATACAAGGAGATCATTATGTCCAACAGCCAGTCCTCTGGCATGGTTGGAAAGCTACTTAAGTGTGAAGTTTAAGCTGCCTTTTTTTTTTTTTTTTTTTTTTTTTTGAGTGCTGATATTCTGGAAAATGGCTTTTGAGTTTCCCAATCATAAGAAAATTTGTGTATATGCGATTTTTTGGGGTGAGGGGGATTGGGAGTTTTTCTAAAGAAAAAACGAGACAAACTGTTTTAGTTAAAAGAAAAATCGGGAGCGAGCTCTGTAGCCATGCTGTAGTTTAGCATTGTTGCCATGAAAAAAAAAATTTTTTAACTTAAATCCTTTGGTTAAAAAGCTATGAGTAATGAAACTTATGTGTACATTTTGTGGTTGGGGGAGGGGTGGAAAGGTTTAAATGATTCTGTAGTTGGTGCCTAAGCCACTTCTTGAGGTGGTTAAAGATTTAGAGGAGACTTCCTTTTTGAGTCTCGAACATAAACTCCACCAGAAAAGGGTGCTCCCAGCTTTTGGCTTTTCCCCATCATCTCCTGGGAAAGAGAATTCCAGTTTGTTGCTATCAGTTGAGGTTTTTTCATAACCAACGCTATTTTGTTTTGTTTTTCAGATGATGAGAAAAAAAAATTAGCATAGATAATAGAACTTACAAATTTGACAGAATGTACAAATTAGGTACTGGCTAAGCCAGCCGACTAAACTTGAGAAGCTCTCCTGGGCCTATCAGGCTGGCAGCCCAGCTCTCTTCTTAACCTTCGCTTTCTGTAGACCCAGAATAGAAGCTTGCCGGGAGGCTGCCAGCCCTTCTCCTCTACAAGGAGGTGGTCACGTCTGAGCTTGCCTGGCCATTGCATCGTCATTGCCCTCTCCTTAGGCAGAGACGTCTGCGTATTGGGGTAGCTTGCTTTGCCACTTCCAGATGTGAGGGAGAAAAGGAGGAGGATGTTTCAATTTGTGCGATATTCTGGGTTATGTCATTCATGAGATGCTAGCCCTTCTCTACCATACCGTTTCCAAATGGGTACAGACAGTGGGAACAGGTAGCTTTCATTTCTCTATCCTGGGCAGTTTAAAACTTTATTTATTTATTTATTTATTTATTTATTTTGCTTTTACTTTGGAAGTTGTGGTATCAAGCATGTGTCCTGGGGAAGAAAGGAAAAAGCTCTAAGCTTCTTCAAGTTATCCTCATCCAAGACAGCATCTTAAGAATAAAGCAATTCCCTATCGTTTTAGAAGAAGGATTCAGGAAAGTGGGCTTCCGTGTCTGCCTAGAGATTTAAATAGGTCTTTTCTGGGTCTTTTGGTCCGCATGTGTACAAGAAAGATAGCCTTGGAAACCCCTGAAGAAGTTGTCTAAGTAAACAAGAGCATGCTGTTTAGAGTATAATTTGCAAGGGCTCAGGTGTACAGCCTTTTCAGTTTAAATGAGTTCTCTGGGAGTGCTCCTTTGCCAGCTGTGTCCCCAACCCCTGGGAATCCTGGAAAACCCCCTGGGAGCTGAGAAAGTTGAACCTGACAGGTCTCCCCTTGGTCAGTGATGACACAGTGTTATCTTACGTTCCCACCCTCAAAACAACTATTCTTTGTGTGGCAAGTGTTTGGGAGCAAGGTCAGAGCTCCCTCCGTTGCCCCCACCTCACAGTGTGGAGGTGAACCCCCGGGTTGTCAAGATGATGCCAGTGGAGCACAAACCTGGCCCCAGGCATGGCCACCCAGCTGTCAAGTCCAGGCCCCATGGCCCCCAGAGGACCCACCTGTCTAAGTTGGGAGGAGCTGATGCCCGGGCTGGCTAGAGGGCAGTGACTCTTTCCACCGCAGCGGTGCTGGAAGACAGTCTGCTGAGGCTAGGAGGGACTGGGGCCCACACCGGGACAGTCAGTCCTGGGTTCCTGAAGTGTGGAAGTCACACCCAGGAGCCTGTTGGCCGCGCCTCACGTAGCAGGGAGGGGCAGTTTTTAACCCTCTTGTTCTTCTTGCAGGTGTCTTTGCCTTGGTGTCCCCTAAGACATGGTAGAAGTAGAGAAGCGGGACATTTTCCAGATGCTGTTAGTAAGACTTTTAAGGAATCACAAATAAAAGCCCCACCTGCAACCTTTCAAAAACTTACAGAAATAAATGGGAAAGTCTTCAGTTTTTACAGATGTTTTAGTTCAAGATCAGCAGTTAGTTGGCTACTTCAGACATGGGTTATGCCATAGGTATTTACAGACTCTATATTACCAGCCACCAAAAGGGGATGAAGGAAAGAGCAGCAGGAGGAGAAAGCCTCTGGGGGCCCACTTCACCAAAGCTGATCCAGAAGCTTGGAAAAGCCTGCTTAGCAGGGGAAACATTCTTCAGAATGAGCCTCTGGATAGCATTCCGATTGGCTGCTTTGGAAAAACTGGCCATGGTTGTGCTCTGGTTTTGTTTGTTTGTTTGTTTGCTTTTTTGGTGAGGCAGTTGGGGTTAAGTGACTTGCCCAGGGTCACACAGCTAGCGAGTGTTATGTGTCCGAGGTCCTCCCGAATCCAGGGCCGGTGCTCTATCTACTGCACCTCCTTGCTGCCCCCATGTTGTGCTCTGACACCAGAACCAGGACGCCATCTTTTAAATTTCATGGGTCACGGTCCGTTTTGTCCATTTTGAGTTTGTAGCTATAGAGCTGTTTAAGCTTCGTGTTGTAGGACTTTTAATAACTTCCAGGTTTGAAGATGGGGATACCTTTTTTTTAATGGCAAAACCGTCAAAACGTCAGAGTTTGAGACCATAGCCGATGACCCATGACATCGATTTTGCACACCTTGCTACTGTTGGTGACAGGGCTCTCATTCTTCTGAGGCAGGGACCAGACAAGGTTTGGGTTGGCAGAAGTCATGAGGCATTGTGGCGTGAATGAGTTGTGCTAAAGTGATGTTCCTGCACTAACCCGCTCCCCTCTCAGGGTCAGTGCATGCCGCTGTTCTGGCTGCCGTTCTGAATCGGGGCTGTTTCCAACAGGATGGTGGAGCACGAGGCCTCCTGTCGAATAGCTGCGTCCACAACAAGGTCTGTTAAAGAGGTAGCAACCCGCTGATCATGGAGGGGGACAAATGCAGTTTGGTTTGCTCTAAGCGGCCCTTAAGTGAGTCCTCCTAACGCTAAATCCCCACTCTCTGCATTCCGCACTGGACTCATCTGGGCTGCCTTGATTTCCAAAGTCTTATGCGATCTGGGACCCAGGTATCTTGGAAAGTGCCCGTTTTCCACCAGGCCCGCCCCCCCCAAGCAGCCTGGATGTTTCCAGTAAGGGGTTGTTTCCCGGGAAGTATGGATGTAGCATGTTTGTCTGGGTGCCCAGAGGCCTTCAAGCAAATGCTGCATTTTTAACCAAGTGGATAATCCCCTGCGAAGTTTTTGGGGCAGCACTGCAGGACGAAATGCTGAACGTCTCCATTATGGGGACGATGGGACAAGCGCATTGTCCCCAGAAAACTGGTGTTGTTTCGAGCTCTTTTTGTCCCAATTCCATTTGTTGAGGGACTGCAAACAAGTGGTTTTCCTTTGCATTGTGGGCCTTGATTTACCTCTGGTGGAAGAGGGGGTAACTGGGATGTGGAACAGTGTGTCTTACACTGCCAACCTCCTGCAGAGTGAAGCAGATGAGACAAGTATGTTTTGTACACCCAACCTCTCAGAGCCCTCTGGTGATAACCTGCCAAAGGAAAGGCTGGAGGAAACATCTCTCTGGGTCCTAAACCACCACAAGCTGGAAAGAAGCTGACGGCTCCGTTTACTAAGCAGTCTATGTTTAGACCATGCGTGGCCAGAATTGGGGGCTGGGGGGACTTGGAAAGATGGTTTCCAAATCTTTCCAAATCGAGGTACTTAAGAAAAACTAATTTGGAAGAATCAGTGGCAGAATTTGACTTGTTCCAATTAACAACAGTCCTAGCAGTGAGAAGTGGAAACCTGTAAAAAAAATTTCTGTATATGAGTGAAATGGGAAAGTTGTGGGAGGGGGTCCTGGCTCTGCCACCGGGGTAAGTAGAAAGGGATCCAAATCCTCCTGCTCTCACCTTTATTAAACTTCACGTGCGCTCTTCCATGGGGCAGATTGGTGACAAAAGGACAGTCGTGTGTGTGTGTGCGTGCGTGTTCCTGTGTGTGTCTTGTTCTAACCAAATTCGCTTTTGATTATGGTGGGGATGAGGGCTGTGACTGACTTACAGCAACTCTTCTCGCGTCTGTCTCTTCAAGGCAAACGGATGCACGTGCAGCTGTCCACCAGCCGGCTCCGGACCGCCCCCGGAATGGGAGACCAGAGCGGCTGCTATCGGTGCGGGAAAGAGGGCCACTGGTCCAAAGAGTGTCCAGTGGATCGGACGGGCCGCGTGGCAGACTTGACCGAGCAGTATAATGAGCAGTACGGAGCCATCCGCGCGCCCTACGCCATGGGCTACGGGGAGTCAGTGTATTACAACAATCCATACGGAGCGCTCGACTATTATAAGCGTTACCGGGTGAGGTCTTATGAGGCGGTGGCGGCAGCGGCGGCGGCCTCCGCGTACAACTATGCAGAGCAGACCCTGTCCCAGCTCCCACAAGTCCAGAACCCAGCCATGAGCAGTCACCTCACCTCCTCCTCTCTCAACCCTTACGATAGACACCTGTTGCCAGCCTCAGGAGCTGCTGCTGCCACCGCTGCTGTGGCTGCCGCTGCCGCCGCCGCTACTGCAGCCACCTCCTCCTATTACGGGCGGGACCGGAGCCCCCTGCGCCGAGCTGCAGCTGCGGTCCCCGCTATCGGAGAGGGCTACGGTTATGGGCATGAGAATGAGCTGTCCCAGGCCTCGGCAGCTGCGCGGAATTCTCTGTACGATGTGGCGCGGTACGAGCGGGAGCAGTATACAGACCGGGCGCGGTACTCGGCCTTTTAAAGCTCGAGGTGAGAGTGGGGGGGGTGTGGCGGAGAGGTTCGATTTAGTTGAGGTGAAAGGGACACCAGTGCTTTATAGAGAAGAAAGCCAACTACTTCCACTGGGAACAGCCTCCCAAAGGTATACATTACACTGTGAGCCCATCTCTTTCTGGGGCTTAGGGGGGAGGATCACCGTGGCCACATAACATTTCTTTTCCTCCGATTCTTGTTTCTCATAACCATCTTTTCTGAGAGGAGTTACTTTTTTTCCAAGGACAAATGATAGGGGGCAGACTGGTAAAACCAGGGACCACGTGGCACATAGCCGTGGGGCAAAGAGAGAGCCTTTCACGGAGGTGGGAGATGGGGCCGGGGGCTTCTAGATGTCCCTTAGTTTAATTCACAGGCTGACAGGAAAGGCCTCGTCACATCGTTTAGTGTGGGAAGACGTTCCCTGCACACCCTTTGCTGAAAGCTGACTGCTGCCCTCAGAGTATCTGGGTTGATGTTGTTAGTGGACACACGTTCTGGACCTGGGCGGCCTGTCCCTTGCCCACTGTAGGCCACTTTGCCCAAGAATTGGATTGGATCTTGATCTCTTGAGATTTCTTTCTGGCTCAGCCTGAGACGTCCAGCTGCTTTCAAATACTTTCCTTAGGAGAGGTGGGTTCTTGGCCGAGTTTGCTGAGATGTTCTTGCTGGAAAGGGAGGATTTTCCCTGGGGTTGACTGAGGATGGCGGGATTAGTGGATTAGTGGGGACCTGCCACCGGCTGTGCGCATCCTGGGTGGTGCAGGAGAAGCAGCCTCGCATCCGCGAGGGGCTCCCCCGTCATCTTGGCGGCAACGCCCTGTAATTAGACATCCGCCCCTAAAAGAAGCTCCAGAGGCCCGTGTAGACTGAGGGCAGACTCCACATGACAGGGGTTTGCCCTGTGAGCAGTGAAGCGGTTTGTGCAGGAGAACTCTCTTAGGTCTGTGTCAGAAGAGAAGCGATATTTGGAAGGAGTCCGCACCGAGACCGCCACCACAGCCCCGGGGGAGGACTCAGCATCCCTTGTGGTGGTGTCTGGTAGGGAGCCTTTCAGAGTCACTTGTATAGTGTGCCACGAGGCACCCGCCAGGACGAACTCCAGGCAGGCCCGGGGTCTGTCATTGTAGACAGGAGCCTGGTGTGGAAGCCGTTTTCCCGGCTCTCACTGTCTGGAGCTGCAGAAAAATCACAGAATTCTAGGGCGTGGGTTCTTGGGATTTGGCAGAAATGCAGGGAAGAGCAGGAGGTAGGCGCTGTGCGTGTGAGAAGGATAAGCGGCTCCCTCCCTGATGTCTGTGCCCAGTCGCTTCTCACTTCTGAGAAACTTGTCAGCTTTCCGGCTTTCCGGCTTGTATCAGCTGTGAGCAGTAGGAGTGACAGACAGTCCCCCCCAGCGCAGCTGGGCGTGGGCCCCTCCACCCCCCACGCCCCCAGCACAGCGCCCACACCCGGGCTGGGTCGCGGAGGGAGTCACGCTGTAGGTGTGGGGTCCAGGACTGACGCTTGTTCTCTGTTTTCTCTCGCCAAACAGGCTGGGAGCCAGCCCTTAGCAGTCGGAGCCCCGCCGTCCCCGGACAGTGTCTAAGCCTCTTGTGTTGTGCTCTCTTTCAGGTAGGCTATTTGCGGGCTGAACCCTCGGGCTGCGGTCGGTCGTATGGGAGGACTGCTTCACTCGCGCGGTCCCCTTTGCCGGGATGTTGTCGTTGCTTCATGTTTCAGTAAACAAAGGAGTTTGTGACCAACTGTGGCTTTTTTTCCCCCTTAATTTAATTCTTCTAAGGTGGCTCTTTCCTCCCTGCTAACAGACCGTCTGTGTAACTTCTCATTCAACATTTCCTTCTTTCCTCAGCCTCTGAGCAGCCCGGGCTGGTAAGGACTCTGCTGGCCTTGCCCCTCCCGAGGGAACCTGGAGCCCTTCTCCCTCCCTGGCTTCTCCTAGGAGTTCAGCTCCTGTCCTTGGCCACCAGCACTAGGATCTGCTGGCCCTTTACTGGGACTGTCTGGTGTCAAATAGCCCACCCCATCTGGACTGTCACACTGCAGCAGCTGACCTGAGAGTGCTGAGATCCTGGGGGGCCAGGGCAGGGGTTGCCGTGGTGGGGGAGGGGAGCGCTTTTTTAATGACCTCTGATCATGGTGCCAGCACGTGCTGGAGGCGACTCAGCCCCTTCTCCCCATGCCCTTTTTGAACAAATAAACCTTTCTACCAATCCAGCGTCCTGTTCTGTGTAACTGATATTTCAGGCAGTGCCCGGATTATGCCGTGGGAGAGCAGAGATTTGATGAGCTGGATGCTGGCTCCTCACTGGGAGGGCAGTATGGTGAGAATGTTAGTGATAGAGCCAGCATTTATAGAGCGCCTGCTGTGTGCTAGGCACTGTGCTAGGGCCTTACAATTATCGTCACAGCTTCCCGGGTTGGGAGGGCCGTGGGATCACAGAACCAGTAAATGTCTGCGGCTGGATTGGAACTCGGGTTTTCCTGAGTGGGGAGTAGCAGGTCACATCATCTTACTCAGGATTCTGCTGCAAAACTGGGCCAGCAAACAAAATGAAGGTCCACTTTCCCTCCCAAATTATCTTTCTTTTATCTGTGTTTGATGTCATGATTCTCTGGAGGTGCGAGAGTCTCTCTCGTTAGCTAGGATATCAGGGATCTATGGGTGTTTACTTGGAGACTTTAGAAATTGTGAATTACATCGTTTCTGCTTAGCTTGGAAACTTCTTGAGGGAAGGGACTGCCTTTTTTAGCACAGTGCCTGACACATAGTAGGCACTTAATGTTTTTTGAATTGAAAACAAAATTGCAGCCAAAACAGTATCTCTGTGTGACAGTGTCTTTCCCGTCAGTTTCCCCATCCATCCCCTTCCCTCCCAAGCGTGTGTGAGCCTCTCTGAGCTCAGGGCCAGACCCTCCCAGCCGTCTTTGGGCCCCGGGCCTTGTTACAGAATATGTATTTCAGATGGAGCTAAACAGGCTCCATCCATTACCTTCCATTCATCTGTTCCCATCACAGGCGCAACACCTTTGGATGTCACTCACGAAGGGTCCCTGAAAAGGGGTCGAAGGAAGGGTGGCCCCTGTTCCCCTGCAGTTCTAGGAAACCACTTCGGAGCTCGCCCCATCTCCAGTGAGCATTTATTAAACACCAACGGCGCTGTACCAGCCTAGCTGGCTGGTGGAAAAGCATGGGGGGAAGCACTGTGTGGGGTCCACCTGCAGAGGATGGCGAGCCCTCCCTCCACCCCACAGTTCTCATCTCTAACTTTGTGTGTTTGTACCACAGGCACGTCTAGGTATGTGCCTTAACTCTCCCACCAGAGTGTAATCTCCCTGAGGGCAAGCCAGGGTGGCTTTCTAGCTCTGGACCCTAGAAGAGTGCCTGGCACAGATCCAGCACTGCTGCTGGCGGTGTCCCTGACGCGGGCAGAGGGCAGGGGCTGTGACTGTGTTTTCTCCCATTTCCTATCCCTCCCCTCCCCACGGAAGGTGTTATTGCCACAGCCTGCCCACCCTCCAGGCCGCCAATGAGGCCCGTCGTGAGAGAAGGGGATCCCCATCCTCGCCCAGCTCAGGCGCGTGCTGGCTAGTTAGGAAGCCATGAGCCAAGCGCTGTCAGGAGGCTAGGGACGTGAGGGCAGACCTCACTCTGGCAGCCTCATAGAATCGGTACCGGGTGGGAAGCTTCTGGAAGGATCAGGAAAGGCCCAGGCCCACGAGGGACCTCTGGCACTCTGGTCCAGCCTCGCCACCCCCCCCCTCCCCAGCCCTCCACCATAAAGGTCAGAGGCAGAATTGACCTGACTGCAGGATCAGCGTTCTTTCCATCCTATGATCCTGCCTTCCTGAGTCTTGAAGGAAGGGAACAAACATTTATTAAGCGCTTACTGTGTGTCAGGCACTGCGCTAAGCACCTTCCCTATACTAGCCCGAAAATTAAGGCAAAGGTGAAGGAGTCGATTCTAGGCTGGGGGAGGGCCAGTGTCCAGAGAGCCAAGGCAGGGATGGATTTGGGGTGGGAAGCCGGGGCTCCGAAGAGACTGCAAAGCTAGGCTGGGGCTGGGCTGTAACGGACTTGAAAAGGCAGGGGCATTTCTGTGTTGCCCAAGAGAGGCAGCAGGGAGCCACTGAAACTTGTCAGGGAGGAGGAGAGTGACGTGGTCAGACCTTCGGCCAGGCCAGAACGGACTCTGCTGTCGTCCCGCTACGGGGACGGACTCCTCCCCATCTTATAAAGGGACGCCGTGATCCATGCAGAACAGTCAAAAACTGCCCCACCAGATGCGTTTCTTAGCGCCCAATAAATGTCCCAGCTTCAAGGATTAAAAAAATAAACATTTTATTAAAAACACAGCCTCAGACATCCCCATCAACACGCTTGTCCCGCGCTCCGTGTCTTGGCCACCACTCTTTACGCTCCGTTCATCTCAAGCGCTTTCCTCACGGGCCGCCGCACGCCCGCTCGCCTCTTCTGGCTCCTCGGGCCACTACCTCACTAAGGCCTTTCCGGTTTTCTTCGTATTCCTCACGCTTGTCTGTCCGACCTGCCTTATCTACCCCATCTATTTTACCCTTCCCTGACGGCTAAACGTTTGGGCTGCTTCCAGCGCTTTGCAGTGATGTTTGAAGCTGCTGATAGCATCTCTAAAGAGGCAGCATTTTTTTTCTTTCATTTTTGATTAACACCCAGGATAGATTTCTAACACTGGAATTATTGGGCCGAAACTCTGACCTCTGAACGAAATGCCCGAGATCTCACAGGCAGCTTCTCCAGCCTCAGTTTCCTTCTCTGTAAAACAACCATCCTACCCATCACACAGCTTTGTGGTGAAGATTCTGCTTGGTTACCTTTCAAAGGCTGTACCTAGAACTTCAAAGAAGAGCTGGGATCTCAGTGTGCTCTCTTCCCTTCTCCCAGTGCCCTGTAGAAAAAAAAAAAAAAAGACACCAATACATCTCAGAGCAAGAATTCTGGTGTACAACTATGGAACATGACAGATGCCTTCCAGATTCTGTGCAGAAAAGACTCGAGTTTTTCCCTCTAAAATATTTGCAGTCTGAGCTTGAGACCACACAAAAGAACGTCTGTCCACAGAGATGCCCAAGGTGTGGCCGAGGGGGCTTAAGGGAGCATCGGTGTGTGTGTTGAGGTAGCCTAGAAGGAGGGCAGGAGTTGGGCCGGGCTCCCTGAGAAGGACAGCATCCTGGGTATCGGCAGCTCACTGCTGCCAGGGTGAGAAGTAGCTGGTCAGTTCGGATGGCGTGGCCCCTGAGGGAGGAGTCCGTGCTGGCCAAGGGTGGCACAGGGAGTAGCCAGAAAGGGCATTGCTGACACGGCTCCCTCCCACTCAATGGAAGGCATGAGAAAGGAAGAAAAGAAAGGAAGTTTGTTAATTATGGAAGAAGAGTTCTGGAGGAGGGGGAGGGACTGGCAGGTCCAAATGGGATGCTGCAGGACAGGGCTGAGGGGGATGGGAGCGAGGAGCCAGGCCGCTGGGCCTGGGGAACAGCTCGGTACACTAGCAGCCAGGGATTCGGCATCACTGGAATGGGAAGAGTACAAGGTGGGGGAGGAATGAGTCCAGTCAGGGCACCAGTGGTTGGAAAAAGGTCCCTTGACAGAGACGGGCCATCAGACCGCTCTAGGTCCAACCCTGTGGCAGGTGGTGATGGCCCTGGAGGGCCGACGGGAAACCTGGGGAAAGTCCTGGGGTGTGAGGGGCAGCTAGGTGGCCCAGTGGATAGAGCTGTGGCCTTGGAGTCAGAGTTCAAATCCGGCCTCAGACACTTGACACTTAGTAGCTGTGTGACTCTGAGCAAGTCACCTAACCCCAACTGCCTCATCAAAAAAAAAAAAAAAAAAAAAGTCCTGGGGGGCTCACTTAACTAAGTAACCTGGAAAAAGCCACTCAATTATCTGAACCAGTAGGATGAGGCTTTAAAATGAAACTGTGTGTATTTAATTGTTAATGGTATCTTTTGTGTTCATATCACCTCCTCTTCAGAATATATACATCCCTCCCTTCTTCCCCTCCCCAGCAAGCCGTCTCCAGCACCAAAAAAAGAGGACAGAAAGTGTTGACTGGCTGTTCCCCACCCAGGATCCGCCCTCTGAAAAGTAGGAAAGAGAGGTTCTGTTTCCTCATCCCTTCTGCTCCTTTTAATTACACAGCCTTCCTTCAGTCTGGAGGAATCCTGTTCTTTGTTTCCACTGTCACCATCATGACCATACCCCACGGGTCTGAGGCCCTGTCAAGGCTCCAGCCTCAGGCCTCTCGGGGGAATCACCAGTTTCCTGCTAACACAAGGCGACTCCCCTGATTCTCAACCATGTCTCAGTCTTCGGAGCAAGACCGAAAGAAGGGCGGCCACGTCAGGGAGCAGGAAGCCAGTGGGAAAGTGGGGGTCCGGGCCCTTGATCTAGGGAGCTGGGGTGCAGGCGAGCTAGGCTTGGCCCTGGCCCAGGTGGCTGGAGTAGAAGAGACCCAAGATGGTGCCTCCTGCTCTCCTGACACCATATTGCCTACACGGTACTCAGGGTATGGAAGGAAAGGTTGGGGGAGCATCACAGGAAATCAGGGAATTCTTTGTCAAGCTTGTGACTGGAAATCATCCCACAGCAGGTGCTGCTCAGTGCAAACCCGCCAATCCTACTGGAGGGTGAATCTTGGAAAACGCCCTTCATCTCAATACCATCCCAGCCTGGGAACTGTGAAGGAGACAAAGGAGTTTGGTAAAGCCTCAGCCTAAGAGTCTGTCCTACCTGTCACCCAATGCAAGACTGTCCCCTAGAAGCAAGACTTCTTAACCTAGGGTCTGTGGACTTATTTTTTAATCTTCTGATAATTGTATTTCAATAGACTTGGCTTCCTTTGTAATCCTGTGTATTTTATTTTACGTCTCTGAAAACCTTCCTCTGGTGTCACCAGACTGCCTGCCCCATGGGTCCAGGACACAAAAAAGATGAAGAAACACCCCCTCCCCCCGAGAACGTCTGACAGTTTGTCCTCAAGGAGATGCTGGACCGAGCACTTGGCCGGCCTTCGGCCTTCCGAGGGCTCACAGGTGACGCGGGTTGGTGGGGTGGGGGAGCCGGAAATCTTGCCACTGGTTCAATCTGCATGCCCTCCCCCCACCACCAAACAAAAGATGCGATGGAAGAATTCAGACAATGCAGGCATCGATGAGGGTAAATAAAGAGAACTCTGGGAAAGC